AGACATTTGCATGTCATGCAATATGTAAATTCTCGGAAATGTTATCGTCTACTCTAGAGAACTATAAGATCTTAGGAGACATTTGCATGTCATGCAATAAGTAAATTCTCGAAATGTTATCGTTCTCACCACTTATCTCTCTCAGTCTTCCTGTCTTTTTCTGTCTCTCGCCGTCTCTCGCTCTGTTCCTCTTTCTCTCTTAAGGGAAAGAAAACAAGTTTTAGTTAGCTTATTATCCCCTTTTTAATGTGCCAGTGGAGTTTGACGAGAATTAGAAATATGAAACTCGACTAGAGAAAGAACACAAATTTTTCATCTTTCCTCTTTGTGTCTTAGATAAAGAACTTGGGAAAACAATACTAAAACCTGTGGAGAGGAAGCTTGTCATCATCAAGCTTTCCAAAAAAACACAGACAGAACTGGTAATCAAGTAAAATAAAAAACCGGGACCTCCATTTATTCGTCCCAATCCGAGACTAGAATATCTAATCATTTCTTGATGTTATAGAAAGGAAGCATATTCTTCTCAATTGTTTTAAGACCTTGAGTGTTGGTCCGGCCGGGGGTCGAACCCTCGACCTCCCGAACAACAGTCCAGCGCTCTATCCATTTAGCTAACGGGGAGGCGGTTTTTTAATACTATGTTTACGTCTAATAAAATGTTTATGTCTCATGAGCAGCTCGTGCTACAGGACTTTGAAGTCTCATGTGGCTCCGTAGTGACGTAGACTGATGACAAGGTAGAATTACAAAATTAAACGAGACTTACCTGTAAGTTGAAGTTTGATTACGATTCTATCTTGTCATCAGTCCGGAACGAAGGAGTCACATGCCCTTATTCACCCTCACCCCCCGTATCCTTCGTTCCTTTTCCTGTACCACTCACGTTGAATATTGATCTGCAATGCGCATGCGCATCTCATGTGACTCTTTCGTTCCGGACTGATGACAAGATAGAATCGTAATCGAACTTCAACTTACAAAGCATTTTGTCTACAAATTCGTGTTCGCCAAGATTCTTTTTTGTGACTCGTTAGATTCGCAATGGTTAGAACGCGATGGCAGTAACATTTTCCGAAGAACAGGTTAAAAGCGTTGCCGAATAGCGAGCACGATGCGCGGGTAACTCCGCTTGTACGTTACGCTTTTTTACTCACGCTCTTTACATAACTTTAATATGGCGGACGAGTGAAGAGGCTCCAAGAGCGAAAAATTGTTATCAAACTACCGCATTTTAACAGTGCCGGTTTAGATCGTTTTAAAGTTATTTCAAGTGAGTCGAATGTGTCTAAAAGACGTGATGTATTATTCTCGCTCTTTACAGAGCGTTCTGTCGTCAGATTCGCAATGGTTATTTTAAATATGCGAGCGGGAGTTTTGAACTCGGGTAGTTGAGTTCCCCTGGGAATCTACAAGGGCGAAGCAAGAAAGTGACTAGAAGTCATTTCAGGATTTTGGTAAAAATCAGAACTTCCAGTCGTCAAAATCCTTCGAAAATTTGTACGAGGCTTCCTTAAATGTCAGACTACCATAACCATATGCTAAAACAGAACATTTGGATTCATTTCATGAGAAATCAAGCCTTATGTAGATAAAAAGCGACTTTCTATACTAACGAGTGGCAAAAAACCCCCAATTTCAAGGGAAAAAAGACAGAACTTATAGGGGGACTGGAAACTCCGCGATTGTAAAATATATTTTATTAATACCTTTTCTATAAAAGCCATATGCTAAAACTAATGAATGTTACGCAGTTTCGTCAAAATATAGAAAATAGTAAGCCTTGGTCGACAATTTCAGGCCATTTTCTCTATTGTTTGACATGTTCTCGCCGATGAGATTTCAAATTTAGCGCGGTTGGCTACACAAAAGGACCCGGATGTGTCGCTGAATTCTGGGCGATGACAGGTAAGTCTCGTTTAATTTTGTAGTTTTACGCTACCGTTAATTGTGCCTATCGGGGAAAATTTTTTACGATTAACTTTTTACCGTGACCAACGGTTAAAATTTGTCAATTTCTACGCCAAACCGCTGAGATGCTTTTTTTAACGACCACACCTCCGTTACCAGCAATCACGGAAACACATTTCTTGATCTTGATGCCTTCGGAATATATCTCTTCAACTACTTCATTAACCACGGGGTTTGCCAAATCCCTTGAAGCTTGCTCTGTTCCAACTTCATTGGTCGCCCTTCTTTCAGCTGACGGCGCAATTTTTTTAGCAGCTTGAGTAACAAACTCTTTTGCAGCTTGACCCAGTGCATCCTTCACAAAGTTCAATGCTCCAAGAGTTACAAGGCATCCAACTGCATAAAGTAAGTTGATTACTCCTTCAACCCATTGACCATTACAGAAATTCTCAACCACTACAGCGAAATCTAGTGCTCTTCGTAATCCAGGAATCGCAGCATCTAAAGCTGCTCTAATAACAAGCTTTAGAATGAACTTTAATGCATATGCAATCCAAGATTCCTTCGACATTTTTGCTGGAGGTTGCTGCGAAAAAACATATAAGATAAAGAGTCATAAATACTCTGGAATAGTGACGGTTGAGTGGACTTAAGTGACTAAATGAGATGGAAAGCTGGATGGCTCTTGAGATAGGTTTAAGATGGCCTCTGAGCTGTATGCAGGTCTTAACCAAATAGGAAACTCATGGGTCAGTTAAATACAGGAGGTACCACTTGTTGGTTATGATTCCATCTTTTCAGGTTCAGAACGGGCGTACCTTATCAGTCATATCATCTGCACCTAGATGTTACGTGCTAATGTTGGGTCATTTTAAGGGTAGTAATTTACGGATATCTTGTAGAAATCTTTTATATATTCCTCACATCTTTTACTTTGATTTCCTGCAAATTCCTTCTGCCTGAGTTTTCGACTTTACCAAGGATTGAATCTTGGAACTACCAATCTCGTCAAACGTTTCTTTAAAATTTCTCGGTCATTATTTACAAGATGTAAGTGTCATTGAAATATGTCACCTTATCAACGATGTGCTTGATTTATTCACCTACGTATCTTAGAAAGCGTCCAGGATTCAAACTCATGATTGTGCTCTGTTGTAAAAGATCTCTTCCCTCTTCCTTCGAGCGCTGACCTTATAAGGATTAAAGGCTGATAGTTTGGAAAGAAACTGTTTGGGGCTGCGCCAGTGGGGGTAACGAAATAATTTGGATATATCAACAAAGTTGAAGTGGTAAATTGGCCACCGTAACGATTACAAAAGCTGACGTTTCGAGCGTTAGCCCTTCGTCGAAGGGCTTTGTTTAAAGTGGTCCTCCCTGAAAATCATTATGATTGCGTTGTGTCGATTTGCTCATAAAGTGCATGAAAGTTAGCCAAATCCTTAGTCAGGCTGAATATAACCTTCAGGTTGTCTTTGTCAAGAAGGAAAGCCCTGAAATTCGTTGAAACTCACAGGAAAACCAAACCACGTTCATACTGAATTGAACAATTTCACTGCCCCCTCGACTTCGCCTATTATTTACCCAAGACTTCCTTACACGAAATATCAGGTAATGCGTGGTGGGTTAATGAAACGCAAGTCTCCTTGCGACTGAAAATGAGTTTCATGCCCACTTAAGTATTTTTTGGACCTGAGCTTTGCAGCTACGCACACAACTGATGTTAATCGCGAAACGAACCGATATATTGCGAATTTGAGAAATACAACTATCTCTGATGAAAACCAGAATCGCATTTTCTGTTTTAGCTGACCGTTAAACAGTTCGTCGCCATAACGTTGAATAATTTAGTCGTTATCAAGGAAAATGGAAAATTTTAAAATCTAAAACGAAGAAATGATTTGACAGATGGTATCTCAAACGTTTAATATTTCTTACAAAATTCTTATCATGTCTCCTTTACATAAAAAAAACTCTTCTCTGCTTGTTGAAGAGACTGATCTCTTTTTAACTTGGAGAAATCTCAACAACTATTATCGAGAAAGGATGAAGTACTCTTTACTATTTTCTTGACGTTTTCTTGACGTTCTCAGTTGCAAACAAACAAGTACACTCTGATAGAATGTTATCTAACGTGAATTTCTGTTTTTGTTTCTGAGGTGATATCTTTTGAATCCTTCTATCGCACGAACTCATTTTCGTATGTACGCGCAATCAAAAATGACTGGACTAACCTAATTCATACCCATTCGTTTTGTTTTTTGTTTTTTTTTTTTGCATTTTAGCAAATTTGCACATCATTCTTTGTTTCGTCACTTATCGAGCACACATTTCAGGTTAAGTGATCGAAAAAGAAATGTCCGCAACCTAGGGACTACTAGTCTAAATATTTTATGCTCTGTTTGTAGAATTTTGATCGCCCGTTCCGATCAAAGGTTATGGTTATCAAGTATATAAACCAAACCTAGCTTGGCTGATGGTTTCGAAAATTTCATAACTCCACCAGCTTTGGAAGTAGTCCATCAATCACTAATTAGCCAAAATTCAAGGAGCACGCTATCGCTGTAGATATATCTTGAACCTCTTAAGTGGCTCTATTTACACCTTTTTCTAATCAACTGCNGAAAACAAGAATGGGGGGAAAAAATCAGCTATAGCATGGAAAGTGACAATAGACAGATCCCTGCAATCGACAGATGTTGATCAATTTTTTTTTGTTTCTGCTTATACTAATTGTCAGCAATATAAGATGCCGTCGTAAAATTGGAAGGAAGCTTCGTCATGATTTACGGATGTAGTAAAGAAATTTAGCCCAAGTTTTTAAACTTTGTCATCCGCAATCAAAGATAACCTTTCCTGTTGTACATCATTTTTCCCCTCTTGTTTTTTTGTACCTCTTTAATACCCTTGCAAAGTATTAATTCTTTAATTCAAATGGTAAGATCTAAATAAAATAATTCTATCATATCATTGCGTCATTTGCCCCTTTGGGTTTTTTTGATGTTTTTTGGAAAAGTGCCACTCATAAACATTGGATTATTATAATATGTAGGAGAGTAGTAATGAAAGAATCCTACCCAATTATCCTCTCATTTCTCGACCCCATATCGGTTTAACCCTCCCTTAGCAGAAGCAACCGCCAAATCTTTGACAAGGACTTTAGTAGCATAATTCGCATACTCTTTTTTGGCACTTTTCAAAGCTGCTTTCCACACAAAGTCACGGTATGCAAACATTTGAACATTTTGCTTCACGCTGCCTTTAAATAGGTCTACAAAATATTTTTCTCCAAACTCTTGTAAAAGATCTGTTGCAACGGTGTTGGCGGCGCTTTTTCCGCCACTGGAGAGTATTGAAGACGACCCAGCTTTTACCAAGTTTTGAAAAGTGATCTTGGTACTATCGTAAAAAACTTTATCAATTGCGTCATTAACCACTCCTTTTGCCAGATCTTTTCCAACTTGCTTACCCACCTTTTTAGTTGCTTCTTTGGCAGCAGAGCCCGCGGTAACCTTGGCGGCATCAATAGCAGCGGCTTTTGTAGAAGCAGTTATTGTGCCAGTTGCCAGATCTTTTGCCAGTTTTGCTCCAACTTCTTTGGTCGCTTTCTTTGAAGCTGTCTTCGCACTTTCTTTAGCGGCCTCAGAAACAGCCTTTTTTCCACTCTCTTTCGCTACATCCTTGGCAGCGCTCGACAAGCCTAGAGTAAGAATGTCTGATACTCCGGAGACAGTGTTAATCAGTGCGCCAACGATATCACCATTATATAAATTCCACGCCGCTTCAGTGAAATCTACAACAGACCCTGCTCCAGGCATTGCCACATTTAAACCCACTCTCGCCGCAAGCTTGCAGGTAAACTTAAATCCATACGCTGTCCACGATTCGCCCGACATTTTTGTCAAAGGTTAATGGGACAGAATCTATAAGTTAAAGGTAAAGAATTAAGATTCGTAATATTCTGGAATGATGACGATAGACTGGTTAGACAGATGGCACCTGAGATAGGTTTGACATGGCGGACAAATGGACTACTCCAGAGTCAATTAAAATACTGAAGGTAGCACATTTAGACCTGGGATGTTATCCTTTACTAAAACATATATCAAGAGAGCTTTGGAGAACGCTCGGTTTCTCATCCGCGCTATTATGTTAATAGTTAATTTCGTCTCGTTGTGTAGTTTTCTGAGGTTCTCTATTTCAGAAACACCCATGATTACGGTAAAAAATTGACTTTTCCCGAGGAGTACAAGCGTGTATGGCAGATGAGCTCGTACAACTGATTCACAAGGTAGTGAATATATCTAGTAGCAATCCACTACGGTTAACAGAAATGTAGAAATTAGTCATGACCAATCATTATGAAAATTTAATGTTGATTTTCATTGTTTTAAAACACATTTACCCGCTGGTTTTTACCATGAGAGTCTATAGCAACAAGAGTAATTCCAGACTGAGCCGTTGTTAGGTTGATATAGAACAATTTTCTGTTTTCCCGCATTAGGCATAGGACCAGAGACTGAAATAGGAAAATCCTTTCAAAATTACACATCGTATACCCCATTCACACCAATTAAAACATATTTAGTAACCGGGTTTACGAAACTAAAATGCCAAAGAAGCAGAGAACTGATGAGAAACTCAACTTTCCACTGGTTTCAAGTAGTCATTTTCAATGTGCTAAATTTGAAATTGACAAACATCGGTTTTAGCAGGTTCTGTTAAGAATTATAGCGCACTTTGCGTCGTGGGAGCTCCATAAGTCAGGCATTCGAGAGCGGGAAAAGTCATTTCGCTAACGTCGAAATGGAATTTATAATGAATGAACGAAATCCAAAAATTCATTGGGAAAAACAGCCTCCATGCATATTCAATACACCCAATCTGACCCGATTCGTCTATGGTAGTTGACGAATCGAATCACCGGAAGTCGTATCGCGCGTTAACACACAGAAAGCATGGTACGGATGAAAAATGAAACGGCCGGAAGTCCATTGTCAGATGAACCTCGTTCTCAAAGCGTAAGACAGGATAGGAAATGTTGACAAATCGACACGATGCGCACGGGTCGACTCGACTACAAATGGACACCCGCATTCAGCAGATAATTGGCGAACAAAACGAGCTGAGGCTTTTCCGATATTCCTAATGATTCTTGAGGAAGCATATTTTGAATTTTGTAAAACCTCACCCATTTTGGTACGCAAATACTGATATGAGGAAAATTCTGGCCAGTTTTCATGACAATCCAGCAGTCTATATACTCTGTTAACTCGTTTTAATAATGGCAACTTGCGCACAAATAAATTTATCAGGAAAAACAAAGGAAAAGTGAGTAAGGCAAGCTAGGAAAAAACTTCTAAGGTAAAACTTTGGCTCGGGCTATCTCGCGACTTTTCTCTTTCTAGTCGTTTGATGAACACTCTTATTTTAAAACCTGTTGCGGAATGAGCTAAAAATTTCTTTTGTTGTGTAGAGCTAAACGCGATGTAAACAAATTGTGCAAATCGAGTTCCCAGACGAAAGCAAACAGTCCGTGTCTAAAGCAGCTACTTTACATAAATCGGCTACAATTCGCGGAAATGTTTATGTACTCACCGCTGATATTTCTCTAGAAACCAATTATAGTAGTTGGCTTCTAGTTTAACAAAAGCTATAGGTTCTAAAACTCGAATAGAGAAAGCAGACAAGTTTTAATTACATTAGGTTCAGAAAAAAATGACTTTAATAAAAAATTATACAGGGAAGGAAGCCTTTTCACTTTCAAATTCTCCACTTCTTCAAGGGCACGTTGTCGATATCTTTTACACATTTCTAACATCTCACTGTGAGTTGCTGAAAATTCGTTTTTTTTCCATCAGGCACGTTACTTAGGCTAGAATCTTTGAAGCGTCGATTTCGTCAAACGTTGCCGTTTAAAATGTCTCGGTCATAACCTTCTAAGGATGACTTTGAATAATGCTATCCTCCCTGGAAATCTTTTATGACTGCGTTGTGTCAGATTTGCTCATAAAGTGCAGGAAGTTAGCCAAATCCTTTTCCTGCCTTAGTCAGGTAGAAAGTTTAGCATTCTAGTGAAAGTTTTAAGATATCCTCGATATTTAATGTCTTAATGGAGATAATGCAACATTTACTTTCCTACCTCTGAAAAGCAACAGCCCTCGCTCAATGTACAAAAAACAATAGGAAGATGGATTTCAGGATTTCTCCGAAATAGACCGTTATGAGTGGCAAGATCCCAGTCAGAGACAGAATTGGTTATCAAGTTAAAAAAAAAAAACAACAAGCAAGGTAATTTGGAATATTGGCTGAAAATGTTTACTACAATTTGTGCTTCGATTGATTACCAAAACCTGTGCGCCCGCACCACGAATTTGCGTTTCAAATTTTCTGGATGGAGCAGCAATCTCCAAACCATTAACGTCATCAGAACAACCTTAAAAGAATCCTTGTCTTTATCAACAAAGTTTTATCTCGGAAATAGCTATCGTCCTTCCCTTTTATTTGTCTCACGTTTTTTTTTGCATTTTAGCAAATTTGCACATCATTCTTTGTTTCGTCACTTATCGAGCACACATTTCAGGTTAAGTGATCGAAAAAGAAATGTCCGCAACCTAGGGACTACTAGTCTAAATATTTTATGCTCTGTTTGTAGAATTTTGATCGCCCGTTCCGATCAAAGGTTATGGTTATCAAGTATATAAACCAAACCTAGCTTGGCTGATGGTTTCGAAAATTTCGTAACTCCGCCAGCTTTGGAAGTAGTCCATCAATCACTAATTAGCCAAAATTTAAAGAGCACTCTATCGCTGTAGAATTATCTTGAACCTCCTAAGTGGCTATATTTACACCTTTTTCAAATCAGCTGCGAGCTTCTTTATGTATCAGAATTTTAGCAAAAGTCCTAAGAGGTCCTTAATAAATTAGCGATACATCTTCCTCTTTAAAAGACACTACGATCATAAGAGACATTTGCATACCATGCAAAATTCTCGGAAATGTTATTGTGTTATCTCGCTGATCTATTTTTCTTTCTCTGTCTGTCTCTGTCCCTCAGTGTGTGTGTGTCTCTCTAAAAGAAACTGAACAACCTTAAGTTTGCTTTTTAAGCCTTTCTCGATGTACTACTGGAGTTTAACGAAAATTAGAGATAGAGAAAGAGACTCGAGAAAGAAAAGAAATCAGTTTCCATGTATGTCTTTGTACCTAAGATAAACATATTAACCAGACTGAAACCTGTAAAAAAGAAGCTTGACATCACCAAACTTTTCTAAAATTTTAAACAGAATTGGGCAAAGGCTGAGCATTATAAAATAAGTCTTCAGATATTCCAATAAATTTGCGAAACATTGTCTGCTCCAGAGAACACTACGATCACAAGAAACAGATGTAGGCCATGCAATATGCAAATAATTCAAAATTTTCCAATTCTCGGAAATTTTATCGTCTCTGTCTCTATGACGGTCGCTCGCTTTGCTTCTCTCTCTCTCTCTCTTAAAGGGAAAGAAAAGAACTTTAAGGTAGCTTTTTATCCCTTTCTCGATTTGCCAGTAGAGTTGGACGAGAGTTAGAGATATGAAACTCGATTTGAGAAAGTAAATAAATTTTCCTCGCATGTCTCCGTGCCTCAGATCGACAAGGAAAAGCTGTGGAGAAGAAGCTTTACATCATCAAGCTTTCCAAAAACAGAGGCAGAATTGGCGATCAAGTGAAAAACAAAATCATGGCTGAAAATTATTAGTACGTTTTGTACTTCGAATGTGCATGTTTACCAAGATCTATGCGCCCGCACCACGAATTCCGTTTCAAATTTTCTGGAGCGAGTAGCAATCTTCGAACCAGTAACGGTGCCATGTTTGATTACTGATTAAACGTTATCGGAAAGGTTATCGAGCTCTTCGCTAATCACTCTCTCAAAAAACCAACTGTAAGTCTGCTTTCCAATCCTCTCTCAGTGTACGAAATTCAACAAAATTTAGAGGCTAGAAATCTCAACTTGAGAAAGAATCAAATTTGTATGACTTAGATGCGTCTACTATTAACCAGGTAAACTATGCTCAAACCTGTTAGGAGCTTTGATCTGAAGTTTTACGATCAACAGAATACTGGATATAAACTTAAAGAAGAAAACTAGATCGAGTAGGTTAACAATTGGATATGCCTTTTTGTTGAAAATTTTCAGAACGTTTCGAACATCGGTTCTTCACATGGCCGACATATTATGCAACACTAATTCGCGATTTACGTTTTTTTGGAACGAGAAGCAAGCCTCGAACCAGTAAAGTAATCAGAAAAACCTTTAAATGATCCACACAAAAATACTCTTCTAAGCTGACATGGCTATGTTATCAAAACAGATATCGTTTTTACCTTCAACTTGTCTCCTTCTGAGTTTTGGGTGAAGTCGTCACGGTGCTTTACTCGACCAAGACTGCGTGTATAAAAATTGACGTGATATTAGTTCCCTTCTATGGCATTATTTGTCTCAGCCAAACAAAACGATGGCCTAGTGATTGGCCCGGTGACCAACCCCTGCACGTGAAAGGAGTATACGCTGTCGCCCGCGCTCTCTCCAAGAACAGCGGTTACTGAGCCTTTTTTCGGTGGAAGCGGTGTGATGAACATGATGAATCATATGCTTTCAGACCTCCATACCAGACTCCATAAACCAAAGACGGAAAACTTCTGATCGAAATTCTGAAAAGAGCGTGTGATATTAGTTCCCTTTTATGGCCTTATTTGGCTCAGCCATACAAAACTATGGCCCGGTGATTGGCCCGGTGACCAACCCCTGCACTTGAAAAGAGTATGCACTGTCACCCGCGCTCCTTTCCCATGAACAGGAGTTCCTGAGCCTTTTTTTGGTGGAAGCCGTATGATCAAAACTCCATACCAGACCTCCATAAACCCAAGAAGCAACTCCTTATTAAAATGTCTAAAAAAATGTTTTTTGGAACTACCTACATTAGTTCTTTTTTTTTTTGCTTTTTTAAAAAACATTTGGATGGACGGAGAAGCGGTGGCTTTGGAAACAATTCCTCAACATCTCTATTCTGCCTCTTCCTTTCAAATCAATAACGAATGCTATGGATAGACTTGTATTTTACCTTACCGTGTTCAGCTCTGAAATTATACTAAAACAATTATTCGCTTCAAGTTCGGTGAATATTCTCGAATAATCCCCTCGACTTCGTCTCGGGGATTATTCGACGATATTCACCTCGCCTTCGGCGAATAATTGATGATGATGATGATGATGATAGAAGGTTTATTAAAAGTATTCAAAAATGGCACCCAAGTGGTGAAATACATGTGAATTTACAAATATGCTTTAAATATTTAAAAAATACGAAAATCTTACATTTGACTTTAAAATTAAGAGTCTAAAGGGACTGGGNGCTGAAAATTATTAGTACGTGGCTATGTTATCAAAACCGATATCGTTTTTACCTTCAACTTGCATTGTCTCCGTCTGAGTTTTGGGTCCAGAGCGTCCAGGATTCAAATTCATGATGGCGCTCTCTCCGGCGTAAAAGATTTCTTCTTCCATGCACTGACCTTTTAAGGATTACTATGAATAAAGTGGTCCTCCCTGGAAATCTGTCATGATTGCGTTGTGTCGATTTGCTCATAAATTGCATAAAAGTTAGCCAAATCCGTATTCCTGCTTTAGTCAGGCAGAATATAATCTTCATATTATGTCTTCTTCAAGAAAGAAAGCCATGAATTGAATTGAAACTCATAGAAAAAACAAAAATACTTTTGTACTACCTTGAACGATTTCACTGCTCCCTCTACTTCGCTTTTACCCAAGACCTTCTTACAAACAAGAACACGAAATGTCTTGTCATGCGTGGCGAGTTAAGGAAACAAAAATCTCCATGCGACCGAAAATGAGTTTCACTGAAGTATTGTTTTCACCTGAGGTTTGCAGCTACATGCACAACTTATCAACTGGAAAATAACCGATATATATGGGAAATGAAACTATCTCTGATGAAAACTAGGTTCGCATTTTCTGTTTTAGCTGACCGTTATGCAGTTTATCGCCATAACGTTCAATAATCTGGTCGTTATCAAAGAAAATGAAAAAAAATTTTAAAATCGTAAACGAAGAAATTTGATAGCTGGAATCTCAGCTTTTAATAGTCTTATACACTCTTGCTTTCTTACAAAATTCTTATCATGTTTCGTTTTCATAAAAGAAACTCCTTGCTGGAAGGACTGATCTCTTTTACCTCAGAGAAATGTCAACAATTATTATAAAGAAAGGACGATGTAATAATTTTATGAGGTCTCTTCTTCTTGACGTTCTCGATTTCAAGCAAAAATATATACTCTGATAGAACGTTGTTCGACATAAATTTCTGTTTTGTTTTCGAGGCGATATCTTCAAGTTGAATTCTTCTTTCCCACGAACTGATTTTCGTACCTACGCGCTATCCAAAAAGAAGAGTGGACATGCCTAATTCATACCCATTTTTTCTTTTTTTCGTTTTAACATTTTAGAAGGCAAATTTGCACATCATTCTTTGTTTCGTCACATATCACGTTAAGTGTCAGAAAAGAAATGTTCGTGGCCTACGGACTACTAGTCTAAATGTACAGTTTGTAGAATTTTGATCGCCTGATTCGATCAAGAGTTATGGTTATCAAGTAAATAAACCAAACGTAGCCTGGCTGATGGTTTCGAAAAAATTTTAACTCCCTCAGCTTTGGATGCAGCTCATTAATTTTTTATTTGCCAAAATTTACGGAACGCTCTATCACGATAAAATATATCTTGAACCTCTAGAGTGGCTACATTTACACCTTTATCAATTCAACTGCGAGCTTCTTTATGTCTTAACAATTTAGCAGAACTCCTAAGATATCCTCAATAAATTAGCGATGCATTTTCTGCATCAAAGAACACTACGATCATAAGAGTCATTTGCATGTCATGCCAAATAACTCAAAATTCTTGGAAATGTTATTGTGCTCACCAATGATCTCTTTTTCTTTCTCTATCTCTTTTGTCTCTCTCTGTCCCTCGGTCTGTTTTTATATTTATATCTCTCTCTTTAAAAGAAAATTTAACGAAAAGTAGAGATGGAGAAAGAGGCTTAACAAAGAAAAGAAAATGTCCATGTATATCTTTGTGCCTAAATTAACATATTAACCAGAGCGAAACCTGTGGGAAGGAAGCTTTTCTAAAAATTTTAAACAGAATTAGTGATCTAGCAAAGGCTAAGCATCACAGTGGAGGTCATGTGATCTGTAAAACATTTTGAAATTAATCTCGTCGGCTCCTAGATCAACAACTGCATTGGAAGGTTTCTTTTGTACGCCACCTTTCTAGTTACTTCCATCTTGGTAGATCAGTGAAAGTTAATCGATGTAGAAAACTTCAAAAGAAAAAGGACTTGCAAAAAGGATCAAAACATTTCGAATTCCAAAGATATTCCCGCTGAACTAGCGCTGCATTTTCTGTCTAACAGAATATTATGAACATCAATAGCATCTGCCATGTTTGAATACTAATTTGTTGATCTCGGGAATGTTATCGCCGATCGAGCTCTCCGCTAATCTTTCTGAACCCTCTCTCAGTGTCCCAGTGAAATTTTAAAAAAATTAGAGGCTAGAAAGCTCAACTCGAGAAATAATCGAATTTGTATATAATTTATATGTGTCTACTATTAACCTCCAACTATGATCTGTAAAATAGTTCGAAATAAGTCTCTTCGGTTCCTTCATCATCAACTACATTAATTTGCAACTGAGTTTCTTTTGGACGCCACCTCTCTACTTCCTTCGATATTGTAGATCAGCGAAAGTTAACTATAATAAAAAACCTTCACAAGAAAAAGGAATTGCAAAAAGGCTTAAAACATTTTCAATTCTCAAGATATTCCTGCTGAACTAGCGCTACATTTTCTGTTATACAGAATATCATGAACGCCAGAAGCACCCGCCATGTTTGATTACTAATTTAAAGTTCTCGAAAGGTTATCGAGCTCTTCACTAATCTCTCTAATAAACCAACTAAAAGTTTTCTATCTAACTTTTCCTCAGTGCACCAGTGAAATTTAGTAAAAGTCTAGAAATCTCCGCTTGAGAAAGGATCAAATTTGTGCATCTATTAGTTTTCTATGACAAGGTAAACAGTGCTCAAACCTGATAGAGCTTTGATCAAACTCTACGATAAGCAGAATTGAATATAAAGTTAAACAAGAAAACAAGTCAAGCAAGTTGATTAATTTTTCCTTTTTTGTTTAAAACTTTCAGAACGTTTCGGGGATCGGCTCTTCGCCCAGCCGACATATTACGCAACACGTATTCGCGATTTACGCATTTTTGGAACGAAAAGCAAACCCTGAACCAGTGGATTATTTAAAAGTTGCTCCGATTTCTTCAAACAAAAAAATACATATTGGGCTCACTTGATTGATAGGACCACTACCAGGTTCCTGCTTTAGTAGTTCGTCCTCGAGCTCTTGTNGTTGCAGGGTGACTTGAAAGCGGCTAACTGTAGTAAGGAACGATGTTACTCTTGGGCTGGCGGAAAACTCCCCTCTGCAGAGTTTTTCCACGGCTTGAACACACGGTTTGCTGTCGGTTAGTACGTGTGCGCGATTTCTAGATTGGGTGATGTAGGGGCTGAAGTGCTTGACAGCTGCTGCAATGCTTAATGCCTCGACTTCGCACGGTAACCATTGAATCTGATGCTTGCGAAGTTTGGCGCTGAAGAAACCTGCAAGGTGTAGGCCATTGTCGCGAGTGATGTATAATGTAGCACCGAGACCACGTTGTTTGACGGAACCGTCCGTGACAATCCACAATGTATCAGTGGGGCGCGGGAGTGTGATGGGTCTTGACCCTGACAAAGCTTGTTGTGCAGAACGAAAGACCTTGGTCAGGTTTTCGTCCAAGCTAAGGGAGTCTGGCGATTGCATTCCCGAGATCGCGCTTTCCAGAGGGTCGATTATTGAGGCACAGTCAGGTAGAACTCGCCCGAGGACCTTGTATGAACCAATGAATGAACGCATGTCCTTAACAGTTGTAGGGAGAGGGCATGAAGACAGGACAGAGATACGATGAGGACTGGCAGATAGGGTTCCTTGTGACCATACCCATCCGAGGACTGTCGTTGAGTTAGGGCAAATGACGGTCTTTGAGGGGGAGAGCCGCAAATTACATCTGTCGAGTTGGTCGAGGACGCGGGTCCAGATAAGTAAGAGCTCTTCGGGTGAAGAGGAGCCACAATATAGGTCGTCGGCTATTTTAGCGACGTGTCCCTCCTGTATGAAGTCGCCGAGGACGCGGCACATTATCTCCTCCAGTGCAGTTTCAGAGCCGGGCATACCCATAGCTGATCGGCAATAGACACGTATACCCCGGAAAGGGGTAGCGACACCGCAGTATTTGCGAGATTCTTTAGCCAGAGGAATCTGATAGAATGCTCGGCAAAGGTCGGTTTTGATTATGAACTTCCAAGGAGCAATAGTACGCAGGGTAGAGTCTACGTCTGGCATCAATGAAGGTTGGGGTTTGCTGTACCGACCGACGTTGGCAAAGGCGGTAACGAGGCAATGGCCACAGGAGGGCGTCTTAACCAGAAATGAGGGATTCAAGTATTCAAGTACGTGGACGTCGACCTCCTCAGGTTTGGAGAAAACGTGATCGTTTTCAAGCTCGTCGAACTTTTCCTGTGGCTCGATCAACTTTTCGCAGGGGTACAAAGGGAGACGACCTTTGCGTTGAGGGGGTTCCACGGGGCCCATGTTCACGTGGGCTTCGATGGAACCTGCGGCGCCATTGTAGCCAGGTAGGTCTGGACCAAATACACGGTCATGCTTGAGCAAGGCTTGTTGGAACTGATCACGAATTGTGTCTTCAAGAATGTTGTTGGGGTATAGCTGAACGCCGTGGGAGTATGGAGTGTTGACCTTTGGCTGCGAGGGGGGAGAAGGGACTTGGGAAGGATTGATAACTGGAACATCCTGAGTAGTGTGGCGGGCGAAGCAGATGTGTTCGTGGCGTCTAATGGCCTGTGGTTCGTCGGTGTCGTTCGTTATGCGGGCTTTACCGTCTATGGTGACTACCAGTTGTGGGTGGAGCCAGGAGGTGGGGGCAGGCTCTACGGCAATTGTGGATTCGGCTCGTAGCTCTGGAGGTACTGAGACTTCGACGAAATCACCGGGCCAGACGACGGTGGCGGGGGTCGATGACCAAAGGACGTAGGAGGATGTTTGTCTCACGGAATAGGATTGGTGGCTCTTGACTGGAGCTTCGGGGAGGTACTTGGTTGTTTCCCGCCCATGGATTGTTACTTCTTGAGTTGCGGGACGTATGGTGATGTCATTGGCAATGAGGAACGGAATACCTGCTAGGATGTCGACATCTAGATCCTCTACAACGAGCGCTTCGAGTATTAACTTCATCTTAGGTGCGTGACAGTGTAATGTGGACTTCACCGATAACATTCAAGGGGGTCGTCCCATCGGCCAATAGGGCTTTTTGGTTGGACTTGACGATGTTGAGGTTGAGCTTGCGTGCGAGGCTTGCCTTAATCATGCTTGTCTCAGCGCCAGTGTCAAGGGTCAGACGCACGGGGTGCTGCATGTAGAAAGCACCGAGTGAGGGTGAATAGTTGGAACTGACGCTACGGGAGACGGCCCGTGCTGACGGGGGATGTTCAAATTCGTCGTCATCGAGCTCAAGGGCGCCGACACCGAGGTGCTAAGGTGGCTCTTCATCCTCGGCGTTGAAGGTGGCACGTGATTTGGACATGAAGAGGCGGTCTTCGCGTGGAAGATATGGGCATGTGCTAAGATAGTGATGGGTGTTATGACGACGAGCTTCTTTGCATAGCGGACACACCATGGGACGTCTAGTGACCACTGAGTTACGTGGGCTGGGTAGACGATAGGGTGGCCGTTGAAGGGGTCTTGGACTAGATGTAGATGTTGATGTGGAAGCCCGTAATATTTTGGAGTCAGCGGCGGACCGGATCTCTTCTAGGAGTGAGTCGAGAGCCGGTGATATCTCCGGTTTCAGTGATGCTAGAGTCCTGGAGCGCAGTTCCGTACCATAACGTTGTTTCACGAGGGTTGGTAGGTCGGAATGAACGAGGCGAAGCCAGGTTAGGATCACTAAGTTTTCAAGGGATGGGGACAACTCTTCGTCGGAGGTCATGGTCTCATCACAATGGGTGATGGGGCCATTGGCGACTAGGAGGTTATCCTCTACAAAAGACATGAGTCGCTGAAACAAATCTTCAGGTCGTTCATTGGGCTCGAGTTTTATGTTGTTGAAGTCGATAAAGTGGGCGCCAGTAGACTGAAAGCCTTGATGCATCCTAATAATTTGCCATATTCCGTTCACCGAGGTCGCAGATTTCACGATTGAGTTTCTTGATATAACAGGACAATAGTTGGCTAGTTGGCCTAGCATCAGGTCGAGATGGGCAGCCTTTTGGTATGCTGTTCGTCGTCGTGCTAGAGGAACATTTTCGCCGTCGTTTTGTAGATCTCTTGTGGGGTTTGCAGAAGTTTTCTTTTGCCAAGAGACATTATCGCTTAAGAAGGAAGCAAAATTAGCGTCGAGGGACAAGATATATTGAAGATTCTGTCGCCAGGCTTCAAATGAAGTAACTGTTTCTGATTTGGTGAGAGACCATTGCTTTGGTGCACGTGTGGTTGCCATTCTTGCAGGCTATGTATTATTATCTCGAAGGAGAACACTGTACTTAGCTCTTTTTCCGGTCGTAGCGAAGGCCGGCTCGTTGTTGGACCTTTGCCAGTAGTTCGATGACTTAGTATTGAAAGTGTAGTTGGGTTTTTGAACCGCTGCCACCACGCCAGTAAGTAACGCGAACTACACAACGAACACGCTTTATTTATACACGGCGAAACAAGATGGAAGATACACAATGGAGAGAAAAGAGTCAGGCGTCACTCGTATGAGCGCGCGCATAACACTAAACAAACACCGCAGCCGGGACAACCTGCTGGCGATGTAGGTCAAAAATTGGAAAATGTCTGCCCATCATTAACTGGAGATAGAACAAATTACTCAGGAAAGGAAGCCTTTATCCTTTGAAAATCTCTACTCATTAGAGAATACATTTTAAATATCTTTTGTATATTCCTCACATCTTTTAATGTGAGTTGTTGCAAATTTGGCTTTTTTCCATCTGCCTAATTTTTCCACTTTACTTGTGGATTGAATCTTAGAACCGTCTGTTTCGTTAAACCTTGTTTTAAAATGTCTCAGTCAATTTTTACAAGATGCGAGTTTCATTAAAATATATATGCGTTATTAACCAAGGTTGTTCGGTCAAAATGGCTGGATATTGGCCGAGTTCTTTTTTGCATTTTTATGAACTGAGAGGAAGTCGAGGTCCATGAAAATGCGAACGAGACTAATATCCAGCCATCTTGACCGAACAAGCTTGGCTAGTAAAGGATTTAATATATTGCAAAAGGATTTCGCTTTATTAAAAATTAAGAATGGCTTGTTTACTTCCGAGAGCCAAGGAAAGAAAGCCAACTGTGTTTATAGCACAAATAACTCGTAAGAGTCGTTTCTGTTTTCTTTGTTTTGACTATCTTCTGCCGCTTTTTGCGTTTCCATCGCCGAAATTGTCCGAGAATTGCGAACGTAGTTCTAGTTCTTTTCTTTTTTTTCATGCACGGGATCAATGCAGGCAATCCTGAGCAGGCAAGCTCGGGTGGCCAATCAGAACACAGGATTCGCTTCATCTTGCCCACGGCCGCTGCGAGCGATGTAATAAATTACTTTAACAGTAATGTGCGCGTTGTCAGTTTTTATCTATTTGTGCTCACCAATGATCTCTTTTTCTTCGTCTTTTCTCTTCTGTCTCTCTCTGTCCCTCGGTCTGTTTTTCTCTCTCTCTAAAAGAAAACATCTTCAAGTTAGCTTTTTACCCCTTTCTCGATGTACCACTGGAGTTTAACAAGAATTAGAAATAGAGAAAGAGACTTGAGAATGAAAAAAAAAAACTTCCATGTATGTCTTTGTGCCTAAGATTAACATATTGACCAAACTGAAACCTGTGAGAAGGAAGCTTGGCATCACCAAGCTTTCTAAAAATTTTAAACAGAATTAGTGATCGAGCAAAGGCTATGCATTATCGTGGAGGTCCTTACATATCCCAAAAATTTTGCGAAACATCGTCTGCTCCAGAGAGCACTAAGATCACAAGAAACATGTTTGTATGGGTTTTGTGGTAAAAAAAAAAGGCCTCACCTACTGAAAACTGTGTCAAGGGTATCACATGATCTATATTTCCTTTTATTGCTCTATTTAATTTCTTTTTCCTTGCATTGGCCATAAGACCAGACAAATAACAGTCTAAATGATATTCTAATTCTTTCACAGTAACACATTGTGCACCCTATTTCACGTTTTCTTCTTGTTTTGTACAACCTGAGACCGTTGTTCATCTTTTAAGGTTTTAAAAAGTTGGAATTGTTTATTTCATCTATCTACAAGATGCAAAAACGAAGCTAAAAATTAGATATCAAAAGTTAGATTCACAGATTTTGTTCATGCATCTTTTAGGGTATTAAAATTATGATTGGATATGTTGATTTCATCTGTTTACAAGACGCAAAAACAAAGCTGCATCCCCGTCGCCACTAGCCTCCTGTTAACTTAAATATAGAAAAATAGATTGACTTCACTTTTTTTTTAATGATAATGACAATAGTTTTTATTCCAAAAGGTTAAGATATTGCATAGCCAACGTTAGAAGTTTTTGCGGCTTGCACAGCAGCTTTCATCCAAGATTGAAATTTATTCATAGATGTAGAAAAGTATTGGTTTACTTATTTTTGACAGTTCATTTTAAGACCGCGGCACCTTGGTGTCTCATACCTAAGGCGTTGCCACTTTCATATGATAATTTCCAGTTTGGCCAACTTTATCATGGGCTGAAGAAAATTTAAAATGATTTAAGTTATCTAGGGTATTCTATCATTCGAAAAAAAAAAATTACGGAAATGCAAGATTGCCGCGATGTTAGCGTAAACACGTGAGTTTAGGCGAAATTTTAAGATACACAACTTTTGTTACGTAGGTCAATTTAGGAATAGACCTTTTCGGCTTAAACGAGCGAAGTAAGATTTTTGACACGTCTTTTGTAATCAAGAAAGCCCAGTTGTCATTTTTCGCGGAATTCAATATCCGCTGTTTACATCTTGCTAAAATGATGGCATAAATGGTTCTGGTACTTTATTTTACGACGGAAAATGGAAAAAGACAATCACATTTTATCGTGACCTATTATTGTTTATAAATGATTTATCTCACTTAGAACTTTTTGTAAAACACCTCGAAAGTTTTTCGCACTAGAAGAGATCATATTCTCTTGATATTGAAATTTCCATTCCGGCTCAAGATGATTTACGGCCAAACGCGCTAGAGTTTTAGTTTGCCCAACAAAAATTCCACGCAATGTCACAAGACTGAATAATCACGCGCGTAAATTTTCCTGAAAATAATTTCCATGGGTTATATTATGGAGTAGGTAATCAGTTGGCTTCAATCCATCAAATAAAAGCCTCTTTGCACAAAGTATTGCGTCTACAGCCGCTCAATGTCTTTTTTCCCTCGCCGAGTGCCAACCTCTCCAAAAAACTGTTCAAATTACAAAACCTAGTTCATAATTATATTGTCAAACATTCTTCGGCTATTCTAAGATTATTAAAATATGGTTGAAATGGCCAAACTGGCTTTATAGCTGTGTTTAGAACGCGTAAAATTACCAAGGGTGCTTTCCATTAGTAGAGAGCGAGGGCCTTTTCGAATACGCCTTCCTTTGAGCTGCTATCAACGATTTTATCGACCTTCTTTAATTTCTCACCAGTACGAACCCTTTTTCCAATTCATCGTCAATTCTGATATTGTTCTTTAAAGTGCAGACCTTGTTTTTTTAAAAGGACAACACAATATTTGGTCAAATGGCTAAGGGATTTCATATTCCGCATGAAGTGAATAATGCTAAAAATAGAACTTATAAAAATAGTCTGCCATGGAGCAGGCGCTCCATGAATTTAAATATAAAACCTCTATTGTTGATTTCTCAGTCATAACAACAACAGCTTCCTTTCCAGTATATTCCTTCTATTGGTCAAAATATTATCTTAACTATCTTGGCAAAGAGAAGTCTTTCATGGTTCCCACTTACGACTGAAGAAAACTTTTTCTAAAAAATCACGTGATGTTATTTCCCTTTTATGGGCTTATTTGACTCAGCCAAACAAAACTATGGCCCGGTGATTGAACCGGTGACCAACCCCTGCACGTGAAAGGAACATGCACTGTCGCCCGCGCTCTTGCCCAAGAACAGCGGTTACTAGGCCTTTTTTCGGTTGGAAGCGGTATGATAAGTCATGTGCTTTCAGACCTCCATACCAGACTTCCATAAACCAAAGACACAAAACTTCTTATCGAATTGCTCGAAAAAAGTTATCTTTTCTTTTTAATTACCTCCATATGTTTTGTTTTTCCGCTTTTTAAAAATATTTGGTTGGACGAGGAGGTGGTGGCTTTGGAAAGAAGTCCTCCTCATCTCTATGCCCTGTCCCTTTCTTTCAAATAACGAATGTCATGGCTAGACCAATATTTTTACCCCACCGTGTACTCAAGGAAGTATGGGTCCGAATCCGCCTTGAAACATTAACCCCGAAAATTCTCTTCTTCCAAGATCACTTATGCCCAAATATAGTTTCTCTTACTTTAGATATTTCTTGTTGATTAAAAAATAATCCTTCACTCCACCTTTCAAAAGGCCCACTTGGTCATGGAGTGTTTTGAGGGATTTTTCCCTTTTAGTTTCAAGCTCAGTAATGCATGTTTCCAAAACAGCAGAAAACTAGTAATTGAAAAGTTGGAATACACTAGAAATGGAGATTTCAAAAAGGATTGAGCCGATGATTTTACGACTATCAAACTGAAATCCATATCAGCCTTCCTTTTTTCCCATCCATGCCTTCTTATGTTTTTCTGAGTGTCTCTCCCCTCCCACTTCTTGGCGCTCTTTCGTACCTTACGAGTCTGGAAAGAGGCGAGAGTTTCTTCGAAACTAATTTTCAATCCTAAGCTGGAACATTTCAGAAAAGGGTTATGCCTGGTCCAATTTTCTAGCGCTGAAATGATAACCAGCCATTAGATCTGTGAGTTACTTGGGCGTGTAATCTACAGCTGTGCTTGACGGTTCGGCAAATATTTCATTTCACCATTTGATAAAAATGAATGTTACTATCGCATAAAAATTGTCAAAACACCGATCTGCATAACAAACAGTTAATCTAGGAATTAGCACAAGTGATTTTAATTTTCCGTAATGCTACTTTCCAAAGGCACTCAGCCAAATCGTATAACAAAAAAACTGATACGGTTAATGTTTGCTTTGCAACAAATCAGAACTATACAAGAGCACTGATGTTTTGACTCAATCAGTTTTATCTTAGAAAGCGTCCAGGATTGAAATTCACGATGGCGCTCTCTTGTAAAAGATTTCTTCTTCCAAGCATTGACCTTTTTTAAGGATTGCTTTGAATAAAGTCCTCCTACTTGGAAATTCGTTATGATTGCGTTGTGTCGATTTGCTCATAATTGCATGAAAGCTTGCCAAATCCTTATTCCTGCCATAGTCAGGCAGAATATAATTTTAACATTATCACGTTAAGTATCGAAAATGAAATTTCCGTGGCCTACGCAGTACTAGTCTAAATGCGCTGTTTGTAGAATTGTGTTTGCCTGTTTCGATCAAAGTTATATTTATTAAGTAAACAAACCAAACCTAGCTTGGCTGATAGTTTCGAAAACTTTTTAACTTCCTCAGCTTTCGATGCGGCCCATTAATTTTTTCGGAGCTAAAATATATCTTGAACCTCTAAAGTGGCTATATTTACACCTTTTTCAGTTCAACTGCGAGCTTCTGTATGTCTTAGCATTTTTGCAAAAGTCCTAAGATGTCCTCGATAAATAAGCGATGCATCTTCTGCTAGCTTCAAAAAACAATACGATCGTAACATTTGCATACCATGCAAAATTCTCGGAAATGTTATTGCGCTATCCCACTGATCTTTTTTTCTTTCTCTGTCTCTCTCTGTCTCTTGGTGTGCGTGTGTGTCTCTCTCTAGAAGAAAACAACCTTAAGTTTGCTATTTACCCCTTTCTCGATGTACCACTGGAGTTTAACGAAAATTAGAGATAGCAAAAGAGATTTAAGAAAGTGAAAAAAATCACTTTCCGTTTATGTCTTTGTACCTACGATTAACATGTTGACCAGACTGAAACCTGTGAAAAGGAAGCTTCACATCACCAAACTTTCCTTAAAAATCTTGAACAGAATTGGTGATCTAGCAACGGCTAAGCATTATAGAAGAAATCCTTAGATATCTCAACAATTTAGCGAAACATCGTCTGTTCCAGAGAACACTAAAACCACAACAAACAGTTGTATGTCATGCAATATGCAAATAATTCAAAACTCTCCAATTCTCGGAAATATTATAGTCTCTGTCTCTCTGACAGTCGCTCGCTCCGTTTCTCCCTCTATCTTAAAAGGGAAAGAAAACAACTTTAAGGTAGCTTTTTATCTCTCTCGATTTCCCAGCAGAGTTGAACGAGAGTTGGAGATTTGAATCTCGACCTGCGAAAGTAATAAATTTTCCTCGTATGTCTTCGTGTCTCAGATCAACAAGGAAAAGTTGTGGAGAGGAAGTTAAACGTTATCGGAAAGGCTATCGAGCTCTTTGCTAATCTCTCTCTCAAAAAACTAACTGCAAGTTTACTTTCTAACCCTTTCTCATTGTACCAGTGAATTTAACAAAAATTAGAGGCTAGAAATCTCAAATTTTTATGACTTATACGTGTCTTCTATTATCCAGGTAAACTATGCTCAAACCTGTTAGAAGGAGCTTTGATGATCTGAAGCTTTACGATCAACAGAATTGGATCTAGAGTTAAAAAAGAAAACTAGATGAAGTAAGTTAATAATTAGTTTTGCCTTTTTGTTGAAAATTTTCGAAACGTTTCGAGCATCGGTTCTTCGCCTAGCCGACATATTACGCAACACGAATTCGCGATTTACGACTTTTTGGAACGAGAAGCAGACCTCGAACCAGTAAATTAATCAGCACAACTTTGAAGTGATCCACACCAAAATACTCATCTGAGCTGACATGGTTATGTTATCAAAACCGATATCGTTTTTACCTTAAGATTTTCTCCTGAGCTTTGGGTGAAGTCCACTCGGTCCTTTACTCGACCAAAACCGTTTCTAAAAAGTGGCGTGATGTTAGTTCCCTTTTATGGCCTTATTTGGCTCAGCCAAACAAAACGATGGCCCGGTGACCAACTCCTGCACGTGAAAGGAGCATGCACTGTCGCCCGCGCTCCTTTCCCAAGAAAAAAAAAACCGCCTCCCGGCTAGCTCAGTGGATAGAGCGCTGGACTGTTGTGCGGGAGGTCGAGGGT